GCTTACCTGCAACAACAAAAATAAAATATTTTAATAATAATCACAGAAAATTGCACAAAAATATAATCTTAGCGGGAATGCTTATATAAATATAAAAGTTGCCCTCTAATTGCTTTGTTTATATTTTTGAAACCAGATTTGAGATTACTGTATAGCTTATTCTCTCATTACGCACAGCATTTCCATTTCAGAGACCCCCATTTGCCATTAATGTCGAGTACTTTTTCTCGTTTTTCTCTGCCTCTCTCTCTCTTTCTGACGAGGCTATTTCAGAGTCACCTTCAGGGCAAAAAGCTTTCCATTCATCGTTTTGTTAAAACACACACACACACATTTGCATGCCCGTCTGTCGTCTGGACCTCGTCTAGGTTGACCCTATCAATCATATATCAACAACAATATAATACAGTGAGAGCTCCAAGACACAGATTCCATATTTTAAAGAAGTTGAAGCAAGAAAATATATATGTATATAGATTATAATGCTTCCCCCCAATGGAAGCTTTCACTGTATGTCCACTGGGGGCCCCTCCCCCTCGGAGTGCTACATAGTCGCATTTTAGCGGAATGAATTTAGGGAAAAACGCGAAAAACTAAATAAAAAAACAGAAGACAGAGATAATTTTTGGGCCTTCTGCTTTATCTGGTTTTATCTATCTTTTGCTTATTGCCTCCTCCCCATCCTCTCTCCCTTTTCCCAATCCTTTTGCTTTGGGTTTAATTGAAATGTTTGTGTATCTGCCAGATACTGCTACTGGGACAGCTGTCACTGTCCCCCTCCTCTTTCGATCGCTTTATCTTTGTATCTATCTCCCTTTGACCTTCTCTCGTGCCTAGCCAAGAGTTCGATTTCCAGTATCGATCGCCAAGAGAGAGATCCCCCCTCCACCTTGATTACCGTGAATCCCAAATGGAATGTTATTCATTATTCATTTGCAAGGCCTATGACTATATTCATTGGATTCACGCGGGTTTTGGGTCGGTCGTTGGCTCACGTTGTGCTCTACGGCACTACGACTCCGATTCGGAGTCCGAATCTGCATGGCAGTCCGAAACTGAATCTGAATTACATTTGTTTACCGTTTTGTCTGTCTTCTGTTTTCGGTGTGTGTGCTTGGAGGCCCTACGATGTGCTACGTGATTTTTGGCATGGAACTTTTCAATTTACATTTATCTCTCTGCCTCTTATCAACCTATATGCCACTGTCGCTCTTTCATGTCTCTTTCTTACCATTTACATATGTATGTATGTACATGCCAAAATGCAAGAAAACTCAAAAACAATCTTTGAAAAGCAGTTTATGTTCAAGCAGTTCGAGAAGAGGGATTCTTGAAAAAGCATTGGTAAACGGAGTAGCAAGCAGTCGTCAAAGCATACGATTGACATGTGAGCTTTGCCCTTTATCTCTCCCAATGCTCCCTCTGTCTGTCTAGTTCTCTCTCCCTCTCTTCTGCTGGCTTCTGGTGCGTGGGCTGCGACTCTGCCGCCTATAATGTCTTTGAAGAAACCTTTGCTGCTGCTGCCTTCGCTGCTGCGTCGCTGCTTCTATACTTTTGTGGCTTTTGCTTTTTGTGTGTGTCGCCGAAAGCACACGAGCGAACGCACGCACACACACGTTCACACGCACGCCCATAAACAGAAGCAGGGCCTGGGCCGCCATTAAGGTATCACATAACCAACAAAAACAACAAGAAGTCAAAGGAAAACATGGGTGGAGCGGAGAGGAGGGGGACCGGTAGGGAGAGAGCAGTCGGGAACTGCTTTAATGAGAGATGCACGCGTGTACCAATTTCCCTTTTGGGGAACCTGTGTGTGTGAGTGTGAGTGAGTGAGTGTGGAACCTGTTTGCCACCTCTTTTGAGCGGTGGAACCTGTTTCCCGAAACAGACATACTCCCAGCAATTACAGGGTGTCTTATGCTCACGCTCTCATCTCTAATATTTCACACGCCATGCTGACATCAATGGCAGGGCATACAATGAAATAACGACATCAATCAACAAGGGGCCAGCCAAGCAGAAAAGCAGCAGAAGGCGCTGAAGCCTGAAGCCAGCAGAAGGCATCGCAGCAGCGGAGGAGCTGCAGAAAGCAGTGGAACAGCATAAAGCGTAGTCACAGCAGCAGCCACCAACAAGGAGGCAAAGTGAAAGATTCTCCGTTATTAAAGCTGCCCAAAAACAACTGTAAACCAGGCTAAAAAGGAGAGCAGAGCAGGCTTCCCACCGGTTATAGATATATGTATGTGTGTGTGTGTGTGTGTGTACAGAGAGAAATTTCTAAAAAGGAACGCCTACGCGGACAGACAGACAGAGTGTGGAGCAGGAAGAGAGAGACAGAGAGGCAGACAGATGATGGCCCACCGGGTGCCTGGGTTCGGTCGCGCAGCTGTGTCTAGGCTCCTTTCACTCCCACTCAATGCGATCCACAGGAGAGGAGAGCGACAAAAGAGAGAGACGAAGGGCAAGTTATTAGCAGAAACGACAAGATTTATGAGCGAAAGTCCAACAACAAAGCAAACGTTGATCTCCAGAGAGAGAAAGAGAGCCAGAGAGAGATGGGGAAGTTGAGAATGTTAAAGCGAGAAGATAATTGGGGCAGGGAATGGTAAATATGAGGTGGTTGGAAAGAAAGAGAGAGAGAGAGAGAGAGAGCGCGCGAGTGGATAAGAGAGATCAGAGATTACCAATGAAGAAAGTAATGTACTTGATTTTAAAAGAAATCTGTTAACTGCCCTTTTGGGTTCTTTCTTTGGTTCGGTACTTGGATGATCTGTTGAGAGGGAAGTCTTGATCAAAGTTGAAGGTAAAGCTGGGAAATGCACTAAATTAGCCAATATAAAATTATTCTTGATTCGCAACTACGGATATATCTTGTAAAATTTCCTCTATCCAATGCTAATCTTAGCTTAAAATTTTCCTTCAACAAAGATTTTACGATTAAAACAAGATAAACTACAATTTCAATTACTTTTTCACTAAACTAATAATGAGATCCCACGCCCATTCGTATCTCTGTCTGAAAATAATTGCCAAACATTTCCACCCACCAACAGCGAGCGATAAGATAATGAAAATATTAATAAGATAAATGGAAAATGCGCTATAATCCACCAAACAAAAACAAATGATATATCAATTGGATAAGCGGAAAATTCGCATACAATCTAGATTCCAGAAAGATATGGGGAAATATCAACAAGATAAGCAAAATATACAATACATGAAATTGTTTTGGCACAATAATCCACGCATATTAGGGCATGACTAACTAACTGATGGATATCTCTGTCTATCTCTTGTCAAACAGTTCCCTTAGCGATAAATAAAAGATTTCCGTATCGAAATCGAATAAACATAATGAAAAATATTGGAATACGACTAAACCAAAACTACAAATCCAGATAAACAAAATCAAAAAAATTACAGAGAAAAACCCAAAAAAATGGCACTGAAAAAATTCCACCAGACTGGAAAAGCGAATGACGACAGAAATAACAACTACAGCAAATATTTTTACAAGTCGCAATAAGCTAAAAGTAAATATGTATAGGGAAAAGAAAAAGAGAGAAGAAGCAGAAAGGGAAGGAGAAGCAGCACAAACAGGAGGAGAAGAAGAAGGCAAATTTAGATTGGGAGACAATTGGGGTGGTAATTGCGTCCGCTGGAATTTTCAATGAGAAACGGAATGGAATGGGTAACAAGAGTGAAGAGACCTTCCAGCTGTACGAGTGTATGTGTGTGTGTGTGGCTGTGTTTGGGAAGCGTGTGATATATCAAACAATAAATCATTATAGTCATAAAAAACTCACAAAAAAAACAGGCGAATAAAGTAAGGCAAAAAACCAGCAGAAGGAGAGGACAGAACATTCAACAAAGTAGAAACATGAAAACATCATCATCAAAATAAAATAAAAGATAAAAGTCAAACTGCTTGGTCTGAAAGAAGATCGATCCTACCCAAGGGTGTTACATACACATGCATACATATATATATATGTACAGAGATACTACAGATATCTGTCATCCAATTTATTAAGCTACAAAAATAAACACCTTTAACTACAATTTGCTAGAGTTTTGATTGAATTATATTTAAAGCAAAACTTGTTTTTCTTACAAAAAACTTGTTTTTCGAGTGAATATAAGGATCCCATTTGGATGAAAATTTAGTAAGTGATGTAAAAATATATTAGAATTCAACTCCCAAAGTTTTATTGAGTTATCTTGAGATACAAACAAAATAAACCCAAGAAAATCAACAAGAAATACGAATTAGGTGATTGTACTGGGGGGGGTGTCAAAAGCAGCTTGGTGGGGTGTAGTGAATGGAGGGGAGTGTGTGTGTATGTCAAATGCTGAGACAGACATGTTTGAGCATGCAAACGTAATCAGAGATAGCGTGGAAGAGTAAGCCAAAAACGGAGACAAAATGAGGAGAAGTCTGGGAATGTCTCTGGGAAAGAGAGAGAGCAGAAAAGAACAGACCAAACCATGTGAGCTGATGGATGTCTCTCTCCCTCACACTGTCAAGTAACCAAGGCGTCTATTGTGATAATCAACAATGAAAAAGGGGCAGATAGGGGAGTGGAACAAGTATACAAAGCAAAAGCGATAAGAAGCAAAATAAAAAAGGAATCAGCACAGCAACAAAATAATAAATAAATACATATACTGCGGCGCTTAATAATAATATTAATACAAAACCCACTTTCGATTTGCTGCCCACAGCGCGTGTCTGATAACGATTACTCAAGCCAAATGAAACGATTGTCAGCAATCGATAAGTGCTATCAGTGGAGGAACATCCAATCCACAAAGGAAATTAAATGGAATATTCGGATTATATTCTTATAAATAGTATATTTACTTGTTCTATCTTTTTCGTCACCCAGGCTGACTCAGGCTCTCAGGGAAAAACACTTTCAAGAAGTGCCAGGACATATGCACTGCTTTCAGTACTAAATAACACTACAGTCGTCTCTGTCTTGCACACAACTCACCTGTTTGACGTTTTCGCTTGATTGTTGCTGCCGCTTCCGCTGCCGCTTCCGCTGCTGCTGCCGCTGCTGCTGCTTCTGCCGCTGCCTCTGCTTCCCTTTGCTGCTGTCTCTGCTCCTGCTCCACGACAAATGCCGTTAGATCGCTGCTGTAATACGATCCTTCGCCCAATTCCAGTCCTAGACCCAGTCCCACTCCTCCTCTCACTCCCACTCCCACGACGGCAGCGTAGTCAACGAAATCGGACGCTCTTAGCTGGTGGGACGCTCTCATTGGCGCATGCTATCCCGCTCTGACTAATGGTTTGGGTGTTCGTTTCACTCCTCTTCTTCTGTCTCTCTCTCTCTCTCTCTATCACTGTCTCTCTCTCTCTCTGTCGTCCTGCTTTTGCTCTGTTCACACTCAATGGGATCGCATTGGAGTGGTTCTTCGAGCGGGCGGTCCTTTTCTTTTTTCTTCCTTACAAATTCGTTTTGTACAAAATTTTCTTCTTGTTGTCGCGACGATTTCCTTTTGACCAAATAATTGCAAATTTTGGTATTTTCGACAACTATTCATTTCCTTTCTTTGGAATTTTTGTTGGTAACTTTCTTGTTTTCTTTTTTTTTTTGGTGGTTGATTAAAATTTGATACGAATACGAAGAATTTTAAATATATTTACAAATAACTTTTTATCCAAGACAAAGACAATTTTTAACAAATTAAAAGAGAATCTGCAAATAGACAGAAAGAGGAAATATTAGAATTAGTACACGAAATATTTCTGTGGGAAAAATGAATGAAAAATAGAATCCACCACAAATCACATATCACACACACACACACACACACAAAGTTATACACACCCTCCCCTACGCCGTCCACACCTTTGCACTTAATTTATTTCAGAAAAATTTCCATTCAAATGTTTTTGTCCAAAACAGCACCCAAAAATAAATTACTTTTTTTATATTTCTTTTTTTTGCGCTTGGGGAAGCACTAAAAAAACTACGCAAAAAGCGGACAGAATGTGGAAGGGAAGCCACTATCAAAACAAGCCAGAGAGAGGGGCAGGGGCAGGCAGCAGCAGCAGCGACGTAAGGCAAAACCGCAAACAGGCAGAAAGCAAAAACAGAAATTCTGGAAATTACGCACTTGGCCCAAAGCACACACAAACAAACACACACACACACAAACGGGGTGCTGTGGCGCCTGAGACTCTCGTTGTTTTCTACGCACTTTGATATCAATAAAATAGAATTCCCGAGAAACCCTCGATAGTTCGACAAAATCGGCAACTTTTTCATAAACAAGCCAAAAAGCAAAAGCAACAACCAATTCAAAGGCAAACAACAAAAAGCCGGTTCCAGAGTTTATTAATGCCTCCTTCTCTCTCTCCCGCTGCCTCTGCCTCTCTCTTTCTCTGCTGCATGGAAAGAAAGACTGAAAAAAGAGTAGACAGAGCCGGAGGAGACAAAAACAAACAGGCACAAACACAAACACATGCAAACAAAAACACACACGCATTTACATATTTTGTAAAGTTCTTTGCAGCGCAGCCGGCAAAGAACAAGCAGAACAATCCAGAAGCAGAAGCAGCGTACTAAGCCGAGCTTAAACAGGGATTGGGGAGAGGAAAAGCAGATCTTAAGATGTGTCTAGGCAGTTCCTAGTCAAAGCCTAAGCAGTGTCTAGACAAATCCTAAGCGTAGTTTAAACTTTAAAGCAGTGCCCCTAAGCAGAGCTTAGGCAGTAAAACACGTTCAATTTTGTTGTTTTTGCACTCTGTCGACCGACCATCTCTCTATCTATCTGTCTCTCTCTGCTTTTTTGGGTGCAACTAAATTAATATTTATATTTGTTTGTTGATTTGTTTGCGGGGGGAATTGCAAAACATAAAAGGTTTAAGTCGTAATATTTAATCACTCTCCCGCAGACACAGACACAGAAACAGAAACACACACACACTGTACACTGTACACATTGCAGAGCCAGAGAGACACCTGCCATTGGGCGACACCTTTTTGGCCGGAATTTCTGTTTATTTATGAATTTTACTTTGTTTTTGCACCTTCTTCTGCACCGACTTGCTTTTTACTGCCGCAGCAGCAGCAGCTTCCAGGCAGAGGATACACGTACACGATGATTTCGTTTCTCTCTCTTTACACAATCTCTCTGTTTTTCTTATTTCTTCTTCTTTTTCTGGTTTTGCTGCCGCATGCCGCTTGCAACGTCCGCTTGCCACGCCGTTTGCTGAAAGACTCTCGACGGTGGCTGGCGACTGAGGTTTAAGCCCCAAAGGCCCCAGAGCTCTCGCTCTCTCTCTCTCTCACTGGCTCTCTCTCTCTCTCTGTCTGGATAGGCGCCGGCGCAAGCTTCAGTTGCTGTGCTGGTTACTTTTTTAAATGCCTCTGCTGCTGCCTCTGCCACTCTGGTGCTGCCTCTGCCCGGGGGACGAATCGCGAAATCACTTCTTTTTTTTTCCTGCTGCTTACGTGGGTGCTGCCCTGCTCCGCCCTTCCCAGCGCACCGCACTGCACAGCCCAGCCACCCATCAGCGTGTGAGAGTAGCTCCATTTGACACGTAAGGATTTGCGTCGGCAGCGACGCGGACAGCGAGGCGGCAGGCAGCGGTTGGCGAGTGGATTAGGGACAGAGGCTAAGAACCGGCAAAGGGGCGGGGCAGCTTGCAAAAATAGTTGCATGGGTTAGAGGGGGCGTGAGAGCGGCCAAGGAAGGTGTGGTAGTCGTGGGCAGACTTAATTACTCACACACCCGCACACACACTCACGGGGGTGAATGTGTATGTGATTGAGTGAGTGTGGAGCATATTTTTAGACCAAAAGCAAGAAACAGTTATAGTTTCACTCTCTATGTAGCTAGAGGTAGAGAGAGAGAGAAAGAGGGAGGGAAGAAGGATGAAGAAAGAGGGTTTAAGTGGAGAAGGGAGCAGGGGGAGAATGGACGACCAACGCGGGAGCGAGCTTAGGAGCGATGCCAGGAGGGTCATAGCGGTAGAGGCAAGAGTCCTAAGGCAACGTGGAAAATCATGGGTTTTTCCCTTTAAAAGATCAAACGAAACATATGGATTCCGCCCAAGGAGAAGCCACGCACTAACTTGTTTCAATTTGGGGTTAACAATGGGGCAAAGTCATGCGGTTCCAAGGTGGGAACTGCCCAGAAGAGAGAGGTTCCACGAAGAGGGATGGGGAAAGGAAACATACAGTAGATATAGAATAAAATGAACCATTACGGAAGCTGAGATTCCGTTTAAGAGCTACTTAAGGGATATTTCCAACCTCCAAAATATCCTGGGAATAGGGGCTCTAATAGCCATCACAAATTGTAACAATACGGGAGATAATAGAAGATACAGACTTATAGATTGCCTGCAGAAACCCTCTCTCTATTTAAAGAGTAAGACATTGAATGGACCCACATTATTTATACTATTTCTCATATCACACATAATCTAGAAATCCTAATGTGGACATTTATGAACAATTTTTTTTTGGAATAAGAGACAGCAGACAAGCAGAGCCATTAGACCCTAGAGATCTCTGCACTGATTGAAAATCTCATTCAGGACAGAGAAATCTGCAGTAGTCAGCCGTAATATGATCCACAAAAATTGCTTAATGAGTAAATATCTGGACCCGACTATTTGAGTTGCATTTACCAAACAGAAACCTATACCATTTCTATATATAAAGCTAGGATTAATTGGTTTTAATTTACTTTATATGGTTCTCACTTTATCATAAGCAATCGAATTCTTCCCCATTGTTTTCTGATACGATTTCCTATAGGGTTTTCTCCGTTTATGGTGTACTTTCCCAAAGCAATACGAGTAATATGTGAAATTCTCTATAGATTTCAGAGTTTGTTTAACTCTGGTTTTGATATCCCACGATGTATTCGGATATTTGTATATTTTCCTTACTCGAAGGTTTCTCGTTTTTCTCCTGCTCTCAACAGGATTCCCTACGGTTTCCGACTTGGACCTCTAGGGGATATGCTGATAACTCGGTTACAGTTTCAGCTTAAACGGGTTTACTGCTAACGTCATCACCTCTTTCGGCTTGCCTCGCCGCCAATCTACTCCTCTGTGTGCGACAATCCATCGCCTACGCCGCAATTCAATCAACAATATGGAAGACAGCAGTGCCACAAGCAGGAGGGGGTATAGCAGTGCAAGAGGCAAGCAGTGTGTAACAAGCAGTATGATGGACAGCAGAGGGGGGGCTTCAATTACAAGCCAATAAAAGCTGGAGAACCACTATCACCCATTGCCACCCCCCCCACTCGGTCACCCACTGGTAATCTCATTTGTGGAAAACTTTCCAACAGCTGTTCAGCGCGAGTGAGGGGGCGGGGGTGTAAGAGAGATACGGTAGAAAGAACAGGGACACTCAACATATGGAAGCTCTTCAGAATGCTCCATTTTATTTTTTCTTGTGGAAAAACTAATTGACAGCTGCTAGAGTGGGTGGGGAGGGGAAATCAATGCGGGGAAAACCCACGAGCAGAAGGACCGTACTTTTCCCGCCCCCTCACCCACTCGTTAAAGTTGTGCAACAATTTCCCTTTAAATGATTTACATGTAAAAAACAAAAAAAAAAAAAGAAGGAAACCAGCGCTGTAAGCAGCGCAGTCAACGCAGGCAGTGACTGCGACTGCAAAAGAGAGAATTTCGGTATCCTTTGCATGAATGAGTGTCAGTCGACGCCGCGCTCGCTCTCTCTGGTTTTACTCTCCCTAAAAGTGTTGTTGTTGTGAGAGCAGCCGGCGGCGTTTCTTTGATGAATCGTCGACATTTGATGATGATGATTATGGTGACGCAGCGACTGCTGGAGGAGTAAGAGAGGTGGGGCGGCGGAGACTAGCCCAAAACACACACTTACTCACTCTCACTCCCATCCAGCCAACAATAATAAATCCCCAAACACACAAAATACGGCAGTAAAGTAAAGTACCAAATGTGAATGAACAAAAAAAAGTCCCGTGGCCACATGGCTAACGGTAGCTTGGGTATTTCAACACAAAAAACATCGTTCAGCAGGAAGAAGGACCCGCATGACAGAACCACACTCTTTCCATATGGCACCTATTTTTAAAGTGTTTATCTTTGCCAGATACCCTCTGTACACCATATTGTTGCTAGAAACAACAGACACAACAATTTTTCGGGGCAAAACAAGTTAAAAATGCAATTTAAAAGTATTTTGCTCTCTCCCTCTGACACGCTACGTGCGCTACTTAAGGTTCATCGTTTTCAATTCAAGAGTTTCTCTCTCGCTCGTTCTCTCACAAAACAGCAACAAAAAAAAAAACTCACACACATACACATGACAAACACACAGCACTTGCTAGCTCTCTCTTCAATCAGTTTTTGGTTTTGGAAAAATTTGTGGAAGTTTTTGCTTACTTTTTGAGGTTTCATTGAATTTCCATGTTGTGAAGAAAGTGTAGTTTTAGATTTATTTTGGATTATAAAAACACACTCGCCATATTTCCCGTCTCACTCACGCACCCGTATGTGGCACATTGAAAATTTGATATTTTCATTCGCACTCTCTCACTCACTCTTCTTGTGGTAGTATCACGCGCCCGACGCGTTCTTCGGGAATCAGTTTTCAGTTCATTAAAATTATAATATTTATTCGAATTTCTTTCACGGCGCGTCGCGTTGATATTTTGTTGGATTACGGATTTTTAGAAGCGCCTATCGCCTACCGCGCCTAGCGATGGAAATTGTATATATAATACATCGATATAAATATTACTGACAATATATATTTGTAGGCGATATTTTTTGGACTGGCGAAAACATTAATATGGATACTTTTTTGTTCTATATCATCATGAAATCTACTTTCATGCATTTTAAGTAAATCTGCATTATTGATCCGTTGTTTCACGGTGTAAGATTAGATGTAAAACAGTCTGATAATACTTATCGATTTACAGGGCTGGACAAACGGTATTTTTGTGCGATAACTGCAACTTATTAGCGTTATATTTTCAAAATATAACTTATTTTTATTTTATTTCCACCTGTACTGGTGTTCTAAATTAAGTTATGTTCATTTGTTAAATAAGTGAAGCGTCCATCCAACATCAAACAGAAACGACGACCTGAGAATCAAATCAATATGCACCCTCTCTACGTCACACACCTTGCTATTTTTTTTAGATACTGAACAAAAAATACCACAACTAAAACGTCACCTTCTTATGCCATCCTCCTACATAAACGCCACAAGCAAAACAAACGTAATAGAATAAGCTATTTTTTTTCTCGGTTTTTGAGGTTCCAGTCACACTCGACACAAAAAATCAAGTGAATTTATTTTTCCATATATATACTTTTGAAAATGACCGCCAACCTCATTTAGAGCACAAAAAATACTGACACTTTTCGCATTGACCAATTTCATATCACAAAATATCATGGTATGGCAGCCCGCAGCAACTACGAATTGCACGTGTCTGGCAACGCCACAAAACGACGTCACATTCGTAAACAATTCACGAATTTCGCGAAAATTTTGTTTGAAAACAAGAAATAATCCGAAAATGCTGGCCCTGCCTGATCCCGCTGCTGGAGCCATACCCGACAAGGCGTGGCAGCCACATTTTGTGACCTTGGAAACGAGGCAAGTCCGGGAAACTTTTTTCTGTGCAAAAATCGAATAATTTTCTTGGGGTTTTTCCCGCTTTTCCGCACAGCATGGGCGAAATTACTGTGGAACTGTACTGGAAGCATGCCCCCAACACGTGCCGCAACTTTGCCGAGCTCTCGCGCCGGGGATACTACAACAATGTGGTTTTCCATCGCATCATTCGCGATTTCATGATTCAGGGTGGCGATCCCACGGGCACTGGACGCGGCGGGACCTCCATCTATGGCGCAGAATTTGGCGATGAGCTCCATGGCGACCTCAAGCACACGGGCGCTGGCATCCTGTCGATGGCAAACAGCGGCCCAGATACGAATGGCTCACAGTTTTTCATTACTTTGGCGCCCACGCAATGGCTGGATGGTAAGCACACGATCTTTGGCCGGGTGTACACGGGCATGGAGGTAGTGAAGCGCATTGGAATGGTGGAGACGGACAAGAACGACAAGCCAGTGGATCCACTGAGGATAGTCAAGGCAAAGGTGGAGAAGCTCTGAAGAGCGAAAGGAAGGATTCTTAGGGTGTACTTTTGTAATGTTACTTTATGGAATGATTAGAATGACTAGAAAACACACACAAATCCATGGTTCTGTTTGCTTAGGGTCTACATAATGCTGTCCAGCGTATCCACCAGTCGCTTGATCTCTCTGCTGTGGGAAGGCAAAAAGTATCTCTAAGATATTTATATGCAGAATACCTAACGACTTACATTCTTTGGCCTAAACGCTCTGTGGGCTTCATGGACTTGGTTATCTCCTCCGTTTTGGCCAGCAGCTGGTACTGGCATTTGATATTCGCATCCAGCGTATCCGTCAGCTTGTTCACCGCATTCTTGTGCACTTCCACATTGTCCGCCGTGATGGAGGAGATGGAGTGCAGCAGATTGCCCAGGTTCTCCAGCAGATTATCCACCGAGGAGGCCAGATATTGTGCCTCCAGCTCAATGTCGCTGAGCACATTGCCATCCACCTCGGGGATATTCCGCGACTGGAGAAAGCGGCGCGTGAGGATGCCTTCTCCTCCACCAGGGCCCATCGATGTGGAGGGCGTCGTATGCTCCGAGGAGTAATCCAAGGGCGTGGCAGCAGCAGCCCCCTCGCGCAGCTTTTCCTCCAGATTGTGGGCCACAAAGTGTCGCATTTCACCAGACTCACCATACGGAATATCTGCTTGAAGGACACGAAACTATTATAGAAATCGATGCAAGACGAGACCAAGAATGTCACTCACTGGTCTCTGACTTGCCGCGCATCTGGAGGGGCTCGCCGGAGCTGTCTTTGGAATTGCTGTCATCGTCGTCGCCCTCTGGCGGATCCTCATCCTCGCCAGAGTCCAGATTCACGTAGCTGTCGCCGCCGCCCTGGCCGGGAAGGCTGTTCGTGTTCCCCGCCGTTGGGGTGATGTCCTGCAGGACGTGCTCGGGCACTGCACCCGGATATTGCGCCAGAAACGGAATCTCTGTGTAGGAAGAAGCGGGTGTGGCGCTGTTCGTCCGCTGTGTGTGCTCCCCCTGGTCGTTCTCCTCCTCCGTGTAGCCATAGCGCGGTCGGATGGGTATGTCCTGGCTGCGGTGTGTCATGGTGGCTGCCCCAGGATTCTGCCAGGGGCGAACAAATGGTTCAAATAAAGAAAAAAGGAAAATATTTCAGAATAAAAACAAACTTTTTGGCGCGGAGTGTGACCAGATGTGGCGACTGCGCAATTGCAGCAATATGCGGAAGAATTTGAATATTTATTTACATTGCGTTGTCCTTCGTTTTCATTCGACTGCCTTAATTAAATTTAATGTTTTGCACTTTTGTAGCTGGCTTGCACTTGTTTCCTTCCATTTTTAATGAGGGTGTGAGTGTATGTGCCTTTTGGGCTACAAGAGATAGAATATTTCTATGTTCCGCTCAAGATGGGAAAATACCATCGGTTGCTTGTCTAATATGTATCGAATATCATTCCTGATTTTGGTCGACGGAAAATTTAGCGCGTCTGAGTACTAGGCTCTAATCTGAACAATATCCGAAGAGAAGGGATAGTAATCTCGAGTTAATTAGAAACCGGTAGAATCTGCAGCCATAATCAGTAAGAGGACCAATCTAACCAAACCAAAACCAAAACAATCACATTCAAATGTTCCTCCTTAAAATCTATTGCAATCGATGTGTCGATTAAGATATGATGGATTTAGCGTAGTACTCACGTCCGAAAAAACACCTCGCGATCAGAATCAGGGTTGATATTCGTATGAAACCGATAAGACATTTTTTACGGCAAAAACTGTTTTCTAGGCTCTGTACGGAAGGCAAGTACTTAGATCAACAAAAAAAAAGGTCGGTATATACTGGAAAAGTATCTGAAGTATTTGCTTGTTTTTTTGGTATGTTTCGACCCACCTCGAAAATTATATCAATTTGATATATTTTGCCAGCAAACACGAAGCAAACATTGCAATAAGAGAACAAAAAACCAAATTAAATATTTAAATAATGAAGACAAAAATAATCTAGTTAATGCAGTATTATATGAATAACAATTATGTGGATATTATAATATATAACTTTTATTAATTTTCATGAATATAAAACATATTTTGTTTGGCACCTCTAGCTCATATTTAAACGAAAAAATGAGTAGGGAGAGCGGTTTGAGTGCTCGGGCCTCGTAAGGACCTCATCCTGGCCCGGGAGGACATGACGTGGGTGCGCGAAATCCCCCACGGTGAGTTATGTGGTGAGGTGGGTATTTTTCTTGAAACCTCTGAATTTTGTGAATACGTCACACCTCATACCCTTATCCTTTCGGCGGAAATGAGTCCGGAGAGCGTTTCAAAATTTTCTCTCTTTTCAGAAGTGAAGAGAGCGCTTTCGTGGTGACTTTTCGTGGTGTGAGCAACATGTATCTTACGGATACGTAAGAACGTAACGTCATTCCATACGCGTTCCCGTAAGATACATTTGATTTGTATCAGAAAATTTTTAGCAACATGGGCAAATGTTGTGCAGCTTGTTGTGGCACGAAATAAGCAACAAAAATTTTTAAATTTTGTTGCGCGAGGTTCGCGTCGCGCGTGTTTCCCAAACGGCCATACAAAAAATATTAATTATTAAATGGCACAAGTGTTTACACCTGCGGAAAAGTTAATAATAGAACAGCAGCATTAAACGCCAGGCCGTCAGCGGCTAAAATCGTGTTAAATGTATTTCGCGCTTTTTTGCCGCTAGCGCTTGAATGCCGCGTGCCGCAGACTGTGTTAAATGTTTTTCGAATTTAACAAACAATTCGTTTGCGAGTGTATGTGTACGTAATTGTGTGTGAGAGTAATACAACAAATGTTTAAATGTTGTGTGAAAAGTAAAGGAAGCAAAGGCAAAATTTACCCGTGTCCGCGTATGCATGTGCATGTGTTCATGTTCATGTGTGTGTGCAAGTGTTGGCGTCGCTAAAAAAAATGTGCATGTGAAAAGAGATAAAAAGAATAGTGCCACAGAAATCAGCAAAGTAGCTGAAAAATAGTCAATAAAATCCAACGAATAATTGGCAAATATCCTTGATAAGAGTGGAAAAACCATCCCCGAAGATAATAAAAACGCGCACACACACACTCAGCCAAAAGAAGAAGCAGAAGAAGAAGAGAAGCGGTGCGTTGCACACTGTGTATGTTTCTGTGTCAGTGTATTGGTGCATGTGGAAGTGAAGCAAAAAGTAAAATAAAAAATTTTGCTTTTGCAAATATTGTATTTGCCGCCGGGGTACAAATTCCAATTGAATTACGATTAATTCTCCCAGCAGCCCCACTGCGCCTGCGTGCCGTCGTCGTATCGGAAAATGTAAGATTTTTTTAATGGTCCATAAATTATGCTAAAAGTGCCATAAACTTTTATGGTAGAGCGCAAAAAAAAAAGAAGAGAACTTTTTCTAAACTCTCCAAAAAGGAGAATGTTTTTTGCCAGTGTGTGTGTGTGTGTTCTTGGTTTCCACTTTTGCTGTTGTTTCTCTTGTGCATTTGGCTTTGCTTTGATTACACTTTAAGAGGAAGGGTATGATTACTATAACAATGTTTT